TCTTCAGTGGCTGACCACAGCAAGACTGGAGGGTGGTCGTGGCTCCCTGATTCCGCTACCCCAAGTGCCTGCATCTCTGCTGATGGCGGCGAGAGCGGAGAATCTCTCTCGGCCTATCCAGACCCCATGCTCACTGCAGGACATGGGTCATGTCCACGGCCCAGGACACCTGTGACCTGGTCAACTTCCAGACTGCCCTGGCCTTCGGCCTTGCCTCTTGCTGCCCTCTACTGGCCACACGGACCTCTTCCTCTCCCTCCACTCTGCCAAGCTCAGTCCCATCATTGGGAAAGTCTCCACCACACCCACCCGTCACCTGCTCACCTGCAGAGGTTACCTGCTCTAGCCAACAGGAGCGACACTCCTCTGTGTGCCCACACACTAGCTCCTGGCACAGAGCCCAGCTCCTGGCTGCAGCCCGCCGGGCCGGCACAGGGCCCGGCCCCAGGAAAGGTTTAGGAAAACGGAGGTCAGTTTCCCCAGGCCGGGAGCTGCCCCCTGTCCATGTCCACCTACCTCAGAGAAGAACACCGACAAGATGGTCAGGCTGATCCAGTGGATGACGCCGGCAAACTGAAACGCGCTGGAAACTGCAACAGACACAAGAATGAAAGCCACGTTTGTCGCTGGGGTGGCTGCGAGGGGCTATCGGGTGGGTGCCGGCTCACAGCCGCCCTGGCACACCACGGGGTGGAATGCTGCCCGGCCAGATGGCCGGCGCCGTCCCCACAACACTCCTAGGTTTGAGCCCATCTATTGCAGCCGCTGTGTCCATCCATCTTGTCCAGGGGCCTCCTCTGTGTCGCTGCGCCCCGATTTGACCACACGTGATGTCCTTCTCCAGGGACTGGTCTCTCCTGAGAATGTGTCCCCGTTCGGGAACCGGGCTCCGCAGGTCGGGGCAGACCTCTGTGAGCTCAGGCCCTTTGCAAGCGCAAGGCGTCCAGCTGCAGTCGGCTCGGAGAACGTCTACGGCAGCTTCCAGTGGAGTGGTGGTGGAGGTGGTAGGAGGCTTGTGGACAGAGGCTGTTCTGTCCCCCTCCATGCCCAGGGGGCTGCCTCTCAAGTCCTGCCCATCTCGTGTGCAGCAGCCACACTCCAGGCCGGGCACCTGGGCTCTCAGAGAAGGGGAGGGAGGGGCTTTGGCCCAGGCCTGGGGATCTTGCTTGGCTCACCCTGTGGTGCTGAGCACTGTTGAACCTCAGCTCCGGGAGAGCGGGATTTGACTCTTCCCCTCGGAGTGGCAGGCAGGGTGTTGGGAGAGGGCTCCATCAAGGACCCGAGGAGGGAGCTGGGGGGTGCGGGGGTGGCCTTGGCCGGGCAGCAGACTGGTACTCTGGGAGACTTCCCAGCTGTGCTCCCTGGCCCTCCAGATGCGGATGGCCTGTGTTGGTAAGGGGGTGCGGGGAGCCGCCAGTCACTGAGCGCGCCCTCTGTCCCCCGCCACACAGTCCTTAGAGACAAGGCCCTAACTCTTGAAGGCTCTTGTTAAAATCCAGGACCCTGTCCCTGGCACAGCTCATCGGGAGAGAGGCAGAAAGCAGGGCCCAAGACAAGGGCCGGGTGAGCTCTGAGGGAGAGCTGGTGGGAAGAGGGGAAGCCCCCAGGGAAAACCAGAGCAACAAAGTGGACTCTGATCCGTTAGGGCCCCGAGCGTGTCCGAGCAGAGACTGTGCTCAGCTGGGTGGTTTTCGGGAGCAGATCGCCAGGCCTTTCTTCCGAGGTGAGCCTGGATGGACTCAAACCTCCCAACTTTGGGTTAGCTGCTGATGTTACACACACACACACACACACACACACACCATCAGAAGAGGCGGGCATCTTTGGGTCCAAGGGCTGGTGCTCAAGAGACTCACCACAGCCTCTGGGATCCTTGAGCCTTTGGGTGCGTAAAGCTCAGATCCTGAGGGGCATGAGACGGGAGGAAGGCTACAGCAGCGGGTTTCAGGGGGGAGACATGAGGGTGCCCTGGCTTTGGGCCACCGTGACCCCTAGCAGATGAGCCCCGAAAGCTGCTGGGCAGGCGGGGGGGCCCGTGAATACCAGTGGGAACCAGGAGACTGAGGGCTGCGTGAGTCTGCAAGAACCTCAGGATGATTCTGGAAACATAAAATCTCTCCCCCGTGACGTCTCAAATGAATTCCTGGGCCTTCTTTTACGGTTGGCTTTAGAAGAGCCATAAATCTTTGATTGTGCGCTTTATGGAATTTAAGATGCCTTTTATGAGCTGCTATTGAGTCTCCCACCAAAATCAATCTCCTAGATACTTAATTTGAAGCCAAACTCCGGCGTCGGCTAGGCTCTCGGCTCCACGCGATGCCTCGTCACAATCTTGAGCAGCCGAAAGCCCCACGTGCAGGAGACTCCGTTATGGTTACGTCTCATAAAAAGCAGACAGGACAGATGAGCGGGAGGGAAAGTACACAGCACGGTTTAATTGAAGACAGGTGGCGTGTAAAACCAGCCCGGCCACTTTATGCTGGAAGGGACTTTCATTGGGACCCAGGGGGCCACCAGCTGCATAAACCCAACTAGGCTTGTCAGACAAAAGCCCTTCTGGGGTCCCTGTTATCCTCTCACAGAGAGCAGAGGGGCTGGTGAGACTCAGGACACAGGATCCAGTATAGGCACTGGGGGCGTTTGACAAAAATGCAACAAGCCCCACAAAACCGCATGGGTGTGGCATGGTTGGACCTCCAGCCTCCACGATGCCATTGGCCAGGGAGGGAATCTTACTGGGGCCAATTGCTGTCACGCTCCGTCTTTTCATTGCACTTGGACACATCGACCTTCTGGGTCAGGAGACTCTGGACAACCAGGAACTCTACTCAGACATCACTCACACATCCAAAGCCAGGAGTCAAGACCGTTGGTCCTTCTCCGCTTTGCGCACAAGGTGCCAGGTGTCTACATGGTGCAGGGAGGAAGCTGGCTCTCCACTTCGGCAGCCACATTGTCTTTGGGCATCCAGAAGGGCAGAGAGGCTCCCAACAGGAGAAGCTACTGGAACTCCAAGAAGAGCTGTGGTGGAGAGGAAACTGGCCAAGCTCTTAGATGACGTGGTGGCTTGAAGGCCCAGCTCCAACCGAGCGAGCTCCGACCAACCGCTCTGACTTAGGAGTGTCACACATCTTCTCCGAGTCTGAACTGCCTTCTCTGTACGATGGGCTGATGCCCAGTCTCGCCCATCTCAGCAGGCTGTCACGAAGGTCAAAAGTACTTCTAACACAAGCATGTTGCACATGAGTCATGTCACTAGCTTAAGGCTCCATGAAGCTATAAATAACATGGTCGTCACAGTGGCTGCCAACCCAGTGGTGCCAAAACCAAACAGGAGCTCTTGAGACAACAGACAGAAAACAAATTCCGACCTGGAAAATTCATCATGGAACAATCAAAAACACACACAGGGGTCCCCAACAGGTTTTTTTTTAGGGGGTGTCTCTCATCAGTTTCCGATCTTGGAATGGGAACTCCACACTGGTTGGAGAGGGGCAACACGATCGATGGTGGAGGTGGCAGAAAGAGAAGCTGCCAGATACATTTCCGCCCCAGTGGTTAACCCCATGAGCCACTGGGGCCAGAGGCTTGGCCGTGGGGATAAGACTTTAAGATCCCTCCCCCTCCCTAAATCACAATCAATTGGTTGGGGACCCCTGAGGGCTGCAAATGCACATTGAATATTGACATCATAGGTATTTGCATAGGGATCTCTCTTGCTACTCACACTGGAGAAGCTTTATATCTATTAGAAGTTCCAGAGTCAGGAGAATCACCACCAATATTACACAGGCTACCAGGAAACTGTTGAGACTTGCACTGAGCAAAAATACCTGCCACACGGCTGCTCTCTTCCCACAGCACGGCTTCAGCCAGTTAGACCTGTGGGGACAAAAATGGGGAGAGGAGGGACTGAGAGTGGAAAGAGATGACAACTGAGGAGGTAGAGATCCTGACCACGGTTCAAGCCCTGCTCTCAAACCACTTAGAACCAGTCTTCTCCGCTCTATGCTTCATTGGTGAAACACAATCTTAATCAAGAGCCCACTCAATACAATCCTAAAGAGCAGATCGATCTCATTAAGAGATAGCCCTACGGATTCCTGATCAAAAGAGGGTGTGGGAAACAGAAGGACTTCTCTCAAGCTGTCTCCCCCAAATATATGCCACTTACCTGCTTGAGAATGACTGTACACTTGGAGGTCATCAGGAGTGGATTG